GCATCATATGTTAGTCGTAAGAGGCGATTTAATGCATCGCGTGGTCAGACTTAGCGACTTCATGGAGTGTGTGTAATCATACCACAACGGGCGTAGATCGTCGTTCATAATACCAATCACTGGATTGTTGGGACCTGATTTTTCACAGGCCGCTTTCATATAGAAATACTGTTGCTTCGTTCAACATATATCAAAACCACAATTATTCTGACTAGGTACGATACTATTTAATTTACAAGTAAACACAAAACTAAGGAAAACTACATCAATGTCCTTATTATAGATACACTGTCCAGCTTCATCCGCCCCAAATTCATTAGCCTATACTAGATGTCGTTTATCAAGTTCTAATATAGCCATGGAACTAAATGCCATTGAAGAAATCGATGCTGTGTCTTTGATAAGAATGAAATTGAACCGACTGGACAGAAATGACTCCATTGATGTAACAGAATGCCTCGCCTGATACAGTTAGGACTCACATAGTGCGTACACGTACACGCAGGTCTACATTGTTTGTTTGTTGTTTGACGCCGCACTCAGCAATATTCCAGCTATATGACGGCGGTCTGTAAATAATCGAGTCTGGACCAGACAGTCCAGTGATTGACATCATGAGCATCGATCCACGCCATTGGGATCGATGACATGTATGAACCAAGTCAGCGAGCCTGACCACCCGATCCCGTTAGTCGCCTCTTACGACAAGCATATTGGCCTTTTACGGCAAGCATGGGTTGCTGAAGACCTGTTATACTCCGGATCTTCACGGGCCCCGTGTCTACAGACATGTAACACGGATTTCCTTGTTATTGTATACATGATAAAAGTATAAATTTATTTCGGTAACGATATACTTCCTGGAAAAGTGACAACAGATGCATATTTACAGTGTGCTTACCGGTTATTAAGTTTATACCTTCATGCACGCAAACATTGAAGTCAATTCGAATAAAAAAATTCCCCTGTAATGATAACTTCACAGAGTGTTTATTTAAGACATACATTATGATAGCTGTTGACAACAATACGAAATCATCGGTCAGTGCAGTAATGCAATACAAACCCCGTCCATTCCATTATCAGCAATCATGGAAACAGAAGGTCTGTTAGCAGGAGTGCCCTATTTGGTATGTCTTTGGAAACATAAATGCAAAGAAATGCGTGGTTAGCCAATCAAATATAACGGAATTATGTGCAATTGTTGTATTGCTGCTTGCTGATCTAGTTCATATTTCGTGGTCTTTCAACGTCACACTAATATCATACACTAAATTATTTAATATCTATCATATGCAACATGCTCACTTTTAGCTTTCTTCCTACATTATCCTAACATGGCATGACAATAAAAATAATGTTCAGAGCGGTTTTGAACTCAACTCAAGAACTCACTCAGCGTTGTATTTTTGTCGATGTACGTTGACAGGTCGAGGTCCAAAGTTTAACGTTGACAGGGGCAGGTGACTCTCCTTGCTTTTTCAGCCTACATCGTTTAGTTATCTTTCTGGCCAGCTGCGGCAAGCTGTTTCTTATAAACGTTGACTCTGAATGCCTTGCCTGGTAATTTAGTCTCGTATGCAAGGCAGTTCACAAATAGCCCGGTAAAACCCGTCCATGAAACAGATGGAATGGTAAAGTGTCTTGTTTACATATACCCTGGTAACCCGTCCAGTTTACACATTGACGGATAATCCGTCCAATCAACAGATGACTTTGCGACCCTGCAATTATACAGATAAACTGGTAACCTGTCCAGTCTCAGATGAACCTGCCACCCTGCCCGTATATTAGGTCTGGTAACCGTCCAATATACACATGAACTTGCCACCCATCCAGTATAGAACGCCTTGGAACCCGACCCAGTATACAGATGAACTTACCACCCAGTCAGTATGGAAGGCCTGGGAACCCGTCCCAGTATACAGATGAACTTACCACCCAGTCAGTATGGAAGGCCTGGGAACCCGACCAGAATACAGATGAACATGCCACCCAGCCAGTAAAGAACGCCTGGGAACCCGACCAGTATACAGATGAACCTGCCACCCATCCAGTATAGAACGCCTGGGAACCCGACCAGTATACAGATGAACCTGCCACCCATCCAGTATAGAACGCCTGGGAACCCGACCAGTATACAGATGAACCTGCCACCCATCCAGTATAGAACGCCTGGGAACCCGACCAGTATACAGAGGAACTTGCCACCCAGCCAGTATAGAACGCCTGGGAACCCGACCAGAATACAGATGAACTTGCCACCCAGCCAGTATAGAACGCCTGGGAACCCGACCAGTATACAGATGAACTTGCCACCCAGCCAGTATAGAACGCCTGGGAACCCGACCAGTATACAGACGAACCTGCCACCCAGCCAGTATAGAACGTCTGGGAACACGACCAGTATACAGACGAACCTGCCACCCAGCCAGTATAGAACGTCTGGGAACACGACCAGTATACAGACGAACCTGCCACCCAGCCAGTATAGAACGCCTGGGAACACGACCAGTATGGTACGCCTGGAAACCCATCTAGTTTACAGATGAATCCTGCCAGTAAAGAAAGACTGCTTACCCAATCTATATATACAGATGATCTTGCCATCCTTCCTGTATAGGAAGCCTGGTCACCCGTCAAGTATACAGCTAAACTTGCCACACTAACAGTATAGAAATCCTGTCATTCTGTCAGTCAGGCCGATTCCTGTTTAATGCTGATAAAGCATAAGATAAGAGGGTTTACACATGTAGGGGCCATTCACATGTTGTGAATTATAGGATTAAATATACATTTTTGCATGTTAGATTGGTCTTCCTTTTGGCTTTTAATGTGTATGTTTCTTGTATAGTGACACAACAAATCAACACTAAATCGTGTTTGATTTCTGTGCGATGTTCTAGTATAGACATAAACTCATCTACATGTTCATGTGAGGAGTGTTGTTTCAGCAGTATTTCATCTGACGATACTTTCCATACATCACAGCCGTCTCTACTTGGCCGGTGGCGCGGGAGGTGTGTTGCAATTATGCCCTTTGATATCAACGCAATAGCTTTTTCTTTAATGGTATGATTCACAAAGCCTACGATTCGTCCTTTTCCAAGCGTCTAATATAATTGCTGTATGGCATTGGTTTCTCGGAGACTTGAGATCATTTACGTTAACTGCGGCGAAGATGATGTAGTTGACACCAACGACCTTCCATCAAATGTTTTGCTTCATGTCTGTATTCATTGAATTTATCTGCATGTAAAATTCGGCAAATGCTAGTGGTTGATTCGTGGTGTCACCGCACCGTGCCAGACAGCGTGTATTATCGGTCGTGCCATTGATCACTGTTTTATCTCTCATCCAGACTCGACCATGCAACCCTATATGTGGTATACGGTCTGCTTTCATTGTAGAGTTGGGATGTCTCTTGATGAGATAGCACTAGATTGTAAATTACAATTGTACGCGTCAGTTTGAAATATTTCATGACGCAAAATTACACAATGTAATTCTACCATGCTTTTGACATGTGGAAAATAGTTATAAATCACATAAATCATGCAATTTGAATTTGAGTTTTTTCAATGGAGAGTGGGCGTGGATGATTCATATTGAATGAGTGAGTGACTGAGTATGGTTTTACGTCGCTTTTAGTAATATTCAAGTAATATCACGGCGGGGGACACCAGAAATGGGTTTCACACATTGTACCCATGTGGGGAATCGAACCCGGGCCTTCGATGTTACGAGCCAACGCTTTAACTACTAGACTATCCCACTGCCCCTCATACAGGATGACACATACATGCCTATGACAAGGTAAAAGAAAGTTGGAAGGCGTGTAAGATTGATATTTAATTACACGTACCTGACTATGGGAAGTTAACAAAAGTGTCAATGTGTGGATATAGGTGTTAGAATGAAACGCTGAAGTTATCTTATATTAACTGTGTAAGCATCAAACTAAATTAGGCTGCAATATCTGGAGGTATGACTTGGTCTGAAAGACCTAACCAAGGAGGCATCATATTGCAAATCACTTAATCCAATTTTAAACATACAAAATATACGTGGTTCATGTGAGGCAATGAAACGTTGCACAGGGAGACCGACGACGCATGTTCAGAACTTTAAGGGTAAAAATTGCACCAGTTAACGTTTGAATCGGAAAAAATGACTATTTCCAAATATTATATCGCAGTTGCCACAATAAACTGTTCGTTTGTTCTTCGGGACTGATGACATAAAGTTTTAGTTATATTTTAAAGAAAACAATATTTGTTGCTATCAAGACTTAAACAATTAGACGTCTTATCTCGCTCATGTTAAGATATCACACGATTATTGCATATAACGGTATTTGTTTCTTCTGAACCTCAGAGAAGAATACCATTTCACCCACCATCGTGTGTCAATAAATGTATGAACTTCTAGTTTCCGACTCGTGAAGATCCGATGTAGAATAGGTCTTCAGCAACCCATGCTTGCCGTAAAAGGCGACTAAGCTTGTCGTAAGAGTCGACTAACGGGATTGGGTGGTCAGATTCGCTGACTTGATTGATCATATCCCAATTGCGTAGATCGATGCTCATGATGTCTTCCACTGGATTGTTTGGTCCAGACTCGATTATTTCCAGACCACCGTCATATAACTGGAATATTGCTAAGTGCAAACAAACAAACAAACAAACAAAACTTCTATTCCCCCTTTAATGATCAAAAAGTAATAAAATGATTCTATTTACTCGCCAACTTGTAGAATGCCAATCAAACAGTTAAGGATCCGGCATTAACCACAAACAGAAACAAATAAAATGTATGATAAATTATTTGTTTTGCTTTATAATACAATAAATGTCGATCAATGTGAGATGACTGCTATTGACTCTCAGCATAGACATGCAGAATATTCTCTCCTGCAATAGAACATTCATAGAATATAAAGCATGTTGTACGGTTCCACTGGGCTCATTAAATACTTAGGCTAATCTGTTTGCTTTCAGATAGTCATCGAACGACGCCTGATTACGAACGGTCTAAGGAGGAAGCAGAGAGGACGTATCGCCAGCAGAGCCAAGTAGCGGGAACACCATGCAAGCGATGGCAAACCACACTACGGATGCACCGTCGCTCTGCCTAGCGAAAACTGTTCGATTTTTCTTCCCGGAGACTTTCATAATGTTTTCAAATAACAGTACGTTCGATGCTAGGCTCTCATTTGAGATGTCTCCTTTGGAACAGGTGGTGCGGTGTATGCAGGTATTCATTGTTCCGATACTCAGTAGTTTGGGGATTCTCGGATCTCTGTTCTGCTGTGTCGTGTTCTTGAAAACACGACTAAGGAAAAAGTTTTACTCTCACTTCCTTGTGTGCGTATCAGCGTCAAGTGGGGGATTCCTGTCCACTGTGATGACCACATGGCTCAATGGTCAGGGCGTAGACGTGTACAATGCCCCAGGATTGTGCCAAATAGTAGTGTTCTCAAGCCACTTCTTCCCACTGTTAACATTTTGGAGTACCCTAATCGGAGCCTACTTGATTCTATGGGATTCTCTAAAACCAAGAAGCCTTGCCTGGATGAATAGTTCTAGCACAGCTAAGTGTATTATCGTTGCTATGGCAATTTGTGGATTCACCATGTATTCGTACAAGACGTGGACAAACGGGACAGTATCCGTACAGGGGTACAGGATCTGCTCTGTGTTACCTGAGAACGAAGCTGCAATGGCAGTGTTGAATGTGCTTGATATTTTATTTCTTCTGATAGTACCATCGGTTTTCTTCTTTGTGTTTGACATGTTATTCCTTATTACCAAAATGTCAGGTCGATGTAAGATTCATAAATCGCAATGCTCCAAACGGCATCGTGAAGTTATGAAGCTTGTCCTCGCCCATTCTATTTGTTTCCATATCCTTGTCACACCAAGAGGTGTTTCGATGCTGGCCTTCATAGCAAATCGGTGGATATACGGAGTATTCCCAACATTCAATGAGATTTTAACTCAGCAAGTGTTTCAATTTTTATTCTATGCTTACTTTGCTGTTTTGCCTTATTTGCCTTTGTTAATGTCGGAAAAATTCAGATTTTATTTCTTGCTTTTGTTAGGGTTAAGGCCTGCGAGACGGAGATGTGGCCTGTATCCAATGCGGCGCCAGCCATCCTTCCTTTGACCCAAGTCTGTGTTTTGACTTCTGTCTTTTCGCGTTGATAAAGTGTCTCTGGTGCACACCCGTTCTATGAGACTAGAGACGAAAGGGACATTAGAGGACATTTTTTACAGCAATTAATCACTGAATTGTTTAGATATTCGTCTTCAATTTTATATTCTACATACTGTTCAATAACTTTAATATTCCTCTGTCACTTTTTAAATGTATTATGTGTGCCTTATGTGGCTTGTCGACAATCATCAATTCTCTGAAACTAATGGTCTGTAATCAATTTGGATGGCATTAAACGTTGTGTTGCATTATTATTAATGATCTGTAATAATTGCTTTGATAACCTGTCCTTCGGTTCGTGAAGCTAGAAGTCGCTGGAAATACGTTCTCATTCGCTAGTCAATTTGTGATGAGATATTTGCCATCTGATACGATAGAATTATAGCAAGGTCTTTTTAAATCTTACAAGCTGGCATTTCAAATATCTCACCTCGCGAAGAACGTGTAACTACAGCCGTTAATCGTACACATTTAGGATTGAGTGTATTAGTATCCTTCCTGATGTTTAATGAACCCATATTAGGTCCACTGAAAAGCTTTTACTAAAATATGGCTTCACACATGAATCGTATAATGTGACGTCTTAAGGTTAGCCTTAAATTGAATTAATGTCCCTTGAATGTCATTGCGTTTGTTAACGAGAGAAATCGTTAGAGCGAGATTGGTATCACAATTTAGGGATAGAGAATACGTAAAATGTTAATGAAGCGATTTGCTGTACACAGTATAAGTCAAACTGATTTATGTATTACCCTCATCGTCCCTCGCATTTGTGCAGCATTGAGGGTCACTCAGATGCAAGGTACTGACGATATGGACAGTTAAAATTACATGAGCTATGAGTTGCGTAACAGTGCGACAGAATCATGATTAATTTTGTACAGATTGGACTAACTGGCGCCAAAAGCCACAAACAGAAAATTTAATGAATATAGTTCTAATTTAAGATTCTTTGTCCGACCGAATCTTTGATAGACTAAAAGCATGATATAAAACTATAAGAAATATGCAAAATCAAGTTTTGAAGACAATTTATCATTTGCATTGAATGTAATGAATTAATGTCTAAAACCTCAGTCTTATTTTACAGGACAATGCCCTCCCAAAAGTTAATACATAGACATAAACTGACGGGCAAAAGAAAGTATACACCTAGAAATTGAATTTGACCACATATTACAAGCGTTATCAAAACGTTAATAGGCTGAAAAGAGTCATAAAACCATATTACAGATTCAATACTAACAAAATATACTGTAAGATTAGAAAAGTCAATAAGTATCAGTGGTATAATGTGTGATTGAGTTTGGTTCAACGAACCGATAGGAAGGCTCGAGGTGATGCAGGTATTGGACTTGTACTACTTTGGTGAACCAAACGAGCGCGGGAATGGTGCTGACAAACCTATAAATATAATCAGGGCGAACTGGGAATCGAACCTCTGACCATATGTTTAGGTTTCTGTAACTCTGCACAGGGAATCTCGACTCCCTAGATAATATTGTCGTCCGTGCCGTCTACTAATGGCCATGATATACGTGTATCAAAATATAGCCATGTTTGTAAATAGGGTAAGTACCAAGTATCATGTTATTATCTTTTGCCAAGGCGTGTCTCCGCTACATGGCACTGTTAGTGCTTTTGTGATGTTAATAACCGTATTTCTCCTACAAAAATGCCCACAAAATGCTTTCGACGAATCCTACATGTTCGAATCATTGTGAGATGATTAATACCATCTCCTATCATTCAGGGGACACCAAAATCCGATAAACGAACGATTCGCGAACACCAGGTGTCGTCATGGATTTCGGTTATCCATTCCAATAATTTCCACAGCTATGTTGTTTTTAACGCAATTATGGAATCTGTATCGGCGGTTAATCTTGACTGATTATTCTCTGACATTGACGTTTTATATTTAATAACTGCCTACAGTTCCCAATATACAACTTAAGCATTTGTTCGGTGATCCTCCATTTGAGTGATTCGCTCGTCACGCCGAAGACCCGGGTTCGATTCCCGACATTGGTACCCCCGCCTTGATATTGCTGGAATATTGCTAGAAGCGGCGTAAAATCAAACTCACTCACTCACTCACTCCATTTGAATGACAAGTATAATAGACTGATCAGTATACACCTTCAAATGTGCATGGTAACGTACTTGCTCGTCACCTAATGTAACGTTCATCATCATGACCTTCATTTACTGAACTACTGTTTACTTCATAGCCTTGGGATAAATTCAAAGGTTGTCCTTTTGACAGTTTAATAGGTAGCACAGGCATTGGAATTGCAATATATGTGGGGTATATTAATTTAGATTGAATCTTCAGAATCCCTCAGAATATAATGGTCTACTCGTCTAATATGAAATCGTTAAATATGTTCATGTCATCAATCTCTGGTTACCTCGTGGTTTAAAATATGATTATATTTCATTTCATACTCACAGTGAATCCTGCGTGAAAGAAAAGTGTTTTCTTAAATGAATGATGAATCATTTTTTTAAATTCCGTAAAACGTTTCCACATAAATGGGTCGGCGAATGTTCAAATGTCATACCGTTTCAACCAAATAATGGTTCTTGAAACTTGTCAGATGGCCTGTTTGATGACAAGTCACTCCCACGTGGTATGTTTAGACTGACGTTAATTAACGGGCAGACTTTAATCAGTTCTGGTAAACAGGTATATATATAACACGTTCTATTTTAATTCTGGAAACCCAATAGTCCAGAAACTCTACGGCTGTGGTATCGCATTTTCTTATTAAATTCCGTCCATCTTTTTAAAGCGGTAGAGTCGTCGAATTACAGTCCGTGAGTAAGAACGACTGGTATCCAGGGCCCACTTGCATAAAGCGATCTTAGCGCTAAGATGATCGTAACTCCCATACTTTAACATAGGCTTACAATAGTCTTAGCGCTAAGATCGCTTTGTGCAAGTGGGCCCAGATCAGTATCCAAAGGTGGCTTACAGGACAACAAACAAGCAAGAAGATCATAGTCTGATTTGCTGTGGACTTCAACGCTGATGTCAACAGAGCCTATACATACAATGTCACACCATAAGTTCTCTCTTATTGTTCCCGTACTCACACAGTGGCACAGTGGGGCGTGTACGTGTGGAGTCAAATCCGGATGAATACTCTCACAGTGCACAGTATCAGGGTCTGATGAAAGTCATTTTAGCCACGCTCACACTTCAAAGGCATTCACGGCTTCTTTGACTGTCCTTTAAAATTTCCATATCTTCCGTTCAAGGAATGTACCAGAACTGAGACATGCCAGGTGACAGTACAATGAATATTTGTGGAGAATGCGACAGATGTCTGAGACATACTTGTGGATGGACACTTATGTATAAACAGAGAGAGAGCCGAGTCATGAAAACCTTCTTAGAAAGGAGATAAATACAGAGGTGGCCAAGAAAGTATAGTTTCCTGATATTGGTGAAGGATTCTGTTTGGAGCCAGCCTAGAAAAGCATTAACTATATCAGACCTAGTATGACGTTGAAGTCCCTGTGCCATTTTGCGGCTTTCTAAAGCCAGAATTCTGCCTTGGAGATCATGATCTTCGACCAGAGTTCACACCAAAACATAGCCTTTGGAATATAAATTTCCCGAATATGTTTTGAGCTTGTCACAGGGTTAAGAGCGCGTTCATGCAGTTCCGATTTGAGGAGTGCCATGGCTGATGCTTTCTTTACTGAAGAATACAGCGAAAAATGATAATATCAGCTGAACTTGGAAAGCCGTGTTACGAGCTGTCATTCATCCATATATTTTTGTGGTGTTTGTTTGTTTGTTTCTTCTATTTAACTCTATTGCACTCAGCAATGTTCCAGCAATCTTGCGGCGGCCTGGAAATAATCGAGTCCGGACCAGACAATCCAGTGATAGACATCATGAGCATCGATCTACGTAAATGGGATAATATGATGACATGCATCAATCACATCAGCGAGCCTGACCAGTCGATCCCGTTATAATTAGTAGCCTGTTTCGACAAGCATAATCGCGTCTTATAACAGCAGAAGACCATCTTCACAGGTTTCGTATATAAACGTATTCCAATTGCAATGGGTGAGTGTGTGAATGATTTAGTCAGTCAATCATCACGATAGAGGGAACCAAGGATGGGTTTCACACACTGATCTCATATAGGGCTCGTTGATCAGCGTGACAGGCCAACGCATTCCACTTACAAATTCAATGCTTTACATGTGTTCCCCACTGCACTATAAAGGTGTAGCTACCACCCGCCCTGACACCAGGCATTGACATGTTGATCCTACAGTTGACTATAATAAAATTGGCCTAAGAATACAGTAGATCATGTGAGACTACTGTTCCCTTATTACAGTTGGTCCAATGACACAGTTAATCATGTGATACTCTTGCTCCTATATTACCGTTGACAAGAATAGAATTGGCCTAAGGCCCCTATCTCACATACACGATTAAGGAAATTGCGAACACGATTTAAGAAAAGATAAAAAATCATGTTGATTCGTGCTCGACCTTGTGGTTTTATGCAAATTTCTTAACCAAACACGACCCTCATACGACTGAACACGACACTCATACGACCGTCATAAGATATTCATATGATACAACACGATTTAAACTCATTTAACACGACCCCAATACGACTGTCATACGACCAAACACGACTGTCATACGACGCCCATACGACTTAATACGAATCAACACGACCGCCATACGATTAAACCCGAATCATTTACGATGTCCATACGACTACAAACATAAACACGATCTCCATACGACTGAGCAAGTCCTTCATACGACATATTTTTGTTAATTTTGGTCACGTGGGTCATGTAGTATATAAGCTGCATTGCCACAACATTTCTGTGTCAGTCTTCACCATGTTCAACAACGAACAAGACCCCAAAGAAGCAGCTTTGGAGGAGGGGGATGTTTCCCTTTCGGAGGTTTTGTTTGGAGGAGCTTCCGTTTCGGCCACCTGAGGTTTGGCATGGCTTTAGAATGAGCTTTCACTTTCGGGGGGGTTTCCCACGTTCTCACTCAGTCACGTGATGGGCTCTTCCGGTCGTATGACAACGTATGGATTTCGTGTTCAGGCGTATGGGAGTCGTATGAAAGGCGTATGAAAGTCGTGTTGAATCGTGTTAAAACGTATGAAGGTCGTATGAGTTTCTTCCCACGCTCCCCAACACGACTGAATGCG